CTGCAGTTCCTACTATCTCTGTGTAGAGTTACCTGATTTCAAAGAAGGAACAATTGGATTTTGGGTAGAATGAGCTGGATTCACATCCCTGTCCAACGACTCAAATGGAAAGTGTTCATGAATATTCACGAGAACACCAAGTGGTTTGGCTCCTGTCTGAACAGCTGCCTTTGTAGCAAGACAGCAGAGGTGCCAGTAACTATGGAACTGCACAACTATGAAGTCAGTCACAAGAGGAGAGTAAACAGCATTAGGATTATAAGTTTATGTAAATGAGAAAGCTGTATTCTGAAAACTTCAGACAGAGGAGGTGGAACATCACTCAATAGAAGATTCACTCTGGGCAGCCCCAACTTATTCCATTACAACTACAGGATGGGATTATATCATATATGTGGAGAAATGATTAAATTGTTGGCTAATTATTGAAAAACTAGATTCTCACATAAAGAGCAACTTTTTAAATTTAAAAGGAACTGATATGTCACATTAATATAAAAACTTTAATCAATGCTTTCAAACTGTACAATCTTTGTTGATTTATTACAAAAGAACTAACAACAGCATGCTATCCAAATCTTCCCAGTGTCATGATGAGGTTATAAAGCTTATGTTATCTCCTATAAAAAGAGTTCATTGTACCAATGTACTTAAACTATTCACTGTTAGATCTCTAGCCTGTGGCATCTGAGATTTAAGGTGAATTCCACTCACTGTTTAAGTTTAAGGTGACTGCTGAGGAACCATTTAGCCAGTTTACAACCACAGAATACCTGAAACTGTGTCCTGCAGACAATGAAGAACAAACTTTAGTTCCAGAATGTGGGACATTCCATAGAATCTTCTTAGGGCAGACTTTTAAAACAAAAGAAGAATAAAAGAAAACATGATTTATCAAAAGAGTCCTTGTTATTAACTGGGATCAAAGTAACAAAGGAATAGGGGCATAAAACAACAGGATCTTTTTGGGTTTGCGGTGTTTGCTTAGGTACAGAAATCCTTTAGGCATCCAATATATTTTGCCTGATAAAACCTGCAATATTTCCAAGGACTAACACTTCTGAGCCTTAAAAGGAAAACCAAGTGATTCTACTCATTGTCTAAGGCATACTGAACTGGATAAAATGGAAAATTAACCCTAGTGGACTGCTTCCGGATAGTTTACAGTTGAGTTCATAATAATTGCCCACTATTTTTACTGTAAATTATTTAAATATCAGTATGTTTTCTTGGTGATTTAGTAAATGATTTTGTTTTTGTCTTTTTGTAGAACTTAAAGATTACTAAACGGCCTGTATTAACTCCTGAGGGATTAGAAAGTGAAAGAGACCTCTCAGATTAAAAAGGCAGAAAGCTTGACATGTGGTTTCAAGCAACAAAACAGCATTTGAAAATTCTAAGTTTAACAACTACAAAAAAAAACAAACAATCTGGGACCAAGGAGTGGACTTTCTCTAAAATTGCAATCAGTTTTCATTTAATTACCAAAGTAGATCTAATCCTTTCAACTGTGTAAATCCAATTATTAATTCTGAAAACGATATTGGGCAGGCCATCATGAAACTCTGAGATATCATCTTCCTTTTGCTTATGCATTCAAATCAAAGGCACTTCAAACAGGAAGGAAGGCGGTGTGCAATCACCTTGAGCCAGTCATGTGCACCCTTTGCAGCACGCTGCAAGAAATGGCACTCAAAGGGCATATAGCAGGAGGCCAGGCAACTTTCCTCAACAAATTCAAGTAGAAAAAGTTACATGAGGAAGAAACACTAACTGAGCTCTTTTCCTTCTTTAGGAGCATATTACTGCAGATGCTGGAATCTGTACTAAAAACAAACAATACTAGAAATCACAGCTGGTCAGGCAGCATCCATGGAGACAGCAAGCTAACAGCTCAAGTCGAGACGACTCTTCATCAGATCCGATTTCCTTTTTTTTTGATTTTCTTGATTTCCTTTTCCTTCTTTGAACATGGATATAAAAAGCTTCTTCATTGATCCTCTTTGACTAATTGTTTTCTACTCATTAGTTCTTTGCTTCCCTCTACTTTTCAGCAAATAGCTCTCCTGATCCAAATTCAGTTTTTAAAACTTTCTCCACCTCCTCTCACAAAAGAGACAGCACCCCAACTTGGAAATATATTGCTGTTTCTTCAGTGTCGCTGCACCCCCCCCAGCCCCCAACACCAACCGACATTGTGGGTCTACTTACAACAAATAGACTGCAATGGTTCAAGAAGGAAGCTCACTACCACCTTAAGGGCAACTAGGGGTGGACTGTAAATGCTCACCAAACTAGTGAAATCCACATCCCATGAATGAATATAATAAAAATTGCAGCATCAGAAGTTTTAAGGTAGAGTTCTATTAAAATGGTAGCTTAGTAGAGGAATTCCACCTGTGTTGTATAGACTGGTGTTGTCTGGTTTCCACCAGAGTGGGCCAGGTAAAAGGGAAAAGACTAAATTGCAGATCTATCAATGTCCCACAGCTCAGTAGACATGAAGGAGGCAAACAGCCAAATTTAGCAGATGACCTCTAAAAGTGGCAAGTAAAACAGCAGCATTCCTTTTCCAGCTTTCAGACTGGAGAGACTTTAGGACAAAGTTCTGTATTCAAATTCTCCTCTATCTGGATGCTATATTGAGAATTTAAAAATGGCTAGTGAAACGTCACAGGCCAGTCTATAACTTAGATGGATCACCAATTATTTGGTAGAAAAATAATTAGAAACATGGCTGAGGTATGAACAATGGAAACGATAAATTACCTGCTGTGTATAGTCTCTGTCAAATAATAAACATTCCCCACACACAGTAGGAACCAAGTCCCACTGATTGGTTATACATGTTTATTATGCATACAGCAAGTACATATCATCTATCTCTTCTTCACCTCCAGCATCTTGGAAAGTTAACTTTGATTGGAAACTAAACTGAAACTAATTAAACACTACCGAGTTCCACAATAATAAAACTGTTCTGCTGTTACATTTATTTACATGGAAATGGGTGAAGGATGAATAACATTTTGACATTATCCTAATGGGCAAACAATCCAACTTTTTCAAACTACATTCTCCACACAAAACGGAGCACAATTAAGTGGCACCAAGTTCAGAAGACGGGAGCCCTCAAGATGAATAAGGCATAAGAGTTGTCAATTCAATCAACCAAAGGCATCAATTAAATCTCAAAAATTAGATTCCACAAAGCTGCGAGGATTTCTTCATAACTCTTCTATGTGCCACTAATGGGAACATGATTTGAGTTAAGCTGGGGAACAAATAAATCAACCACTCAATCTGTCACTCCAGTTCCTTCCTGAAAATGGTTTTGGTGCTTGATGCACTCAACTATCCAATGGCAAAAGAAGAACTGCTGAGATGATCAATATTTCTTTGTGAAAAACCTGGAGTTCTGAGAATTCTCTCCATCAAGATGATGAAATGTCAGTACTAGCTTGCACAGAAACAAGTTAAATGAATTGTTCACCCAAGGAACAAATTCCTACTGAGCATTTTTCATCTGAAGTTCCATGGCTCAATTTCCTTGTGTATAAACAGTATATGGTATCCAAGACAAATGGAGCAAGGCTAACGACTGGCTTTACACAGACAGGATACAAAGTAAAAATACAACAGGTAGTGCCCTTCTAAGGTACCATTATATAATTCGAGACACAGAACAGACATATAAATATAGTTGCAAAAACAAAAACAAAAATTTAACATGAACTAATCATTTAAAATAATCAAAAGTAGTGTTACAGGTTTAAGAGCAAAATGAAACAAAAATATCAGTTTGAAAGTACAAAGGAAAAAACAGCACTGAACATATTGCCAATGTTACAACATTAAATGAATGTAAGCTTTGATTTTGCTATTTCATTCTCTGCAGCAGTTTGGGAAGGAAATATCTGGAAACATTCCTCAAAGAACAAATCATTTATGTCAGTTGTGTAACCACATTTGTGAAAATTACAAATTATTCCTCATGTTTTTACAATGTTGACGTCTAGATGACTACAGAAAAAAAATTACTTCATCTTATTGAGACAACATATATGACACTTATTTGGACCTTCCAGTCAAAAATTGTTGGATTCCACATGGATGTTTGATGACAATGGTCCTGAATTACTTTTTCTCAAAAACATTTGTAGCTGCAATTATGACAATGAGGACATCTTAACACTTTGCTTACACACCCGGTACAGCCTCTGTATACAGCCCACTAAATGAAAAATGCTACTTGCAAAATCAACAGGGCTCTAATATTGCTGCTGTAAGAACTAACTTAGCATTCAGTATTCCCTCACTACGTAATTGGGAATCACTTGACGCAGCTACCCTTGTTGCTTAGACTGAAGATATTGAATGGAAAGGGGAGATCAGTATAAAAATTAACATCTAGTAGATTAATGACACCAGGCAGCAAAGGGAGGAGGAGAGGATCTGGCAATTTAAAAAAAGGATATGTGGTATGAAATACTGTGTCAAAAGTACAAGACAGATAATTCAATATATAAAAGGTTATATATAAACAGGGTCCTTTTAGAGATCCTGCAAGTTCTGTTTTGTCCCACCTTGAGAGTCATCCGCTGATCCCGCAGTCCAGTCAGAATAGAGGACCCGCTCCCCAGGAGATCATCCATTCCTTTGTGTGCATTGTGTAAAGAAGTGTTAAACTGCAAGGACTCGTCTATTGCTATTGAGGTGTCAGCATCCTGCATAAAAAATGGGAGGTCCTCATTACCCGCTCAGATTCCTTTTGGTATCAAATAATAACAATGTTTATATGGTTCATCTCAGTATGTATTTACAAATAATCAATTATTAGGGCAAATTTGATTACAGGCTATTCCTCAATCTTTGTCAAAATATCACTTTTTTTAAAAATAGTAAGGCAGGCTGTGAAAATAATAAACTAATAGAAATGTAAATGAATTGTCAAACAATATGAAAACACAGGAGAACTGCAGTGCATTTGTAAACTTAGGTAAATGTCTTCTATCAGTATGGAACTGTCCAGGACCCAACAATGCATCTCTAATCATTCACTGAATTAGTTCATATGAAACTGGAGATAAATGTTTAAGGCTATATTTGCAGAACAACTAAAGTATTGTGTGAACCTGTGTTTGTTTTGATTGAGATTCTCTGCTTCTCTCAAGTTAAATCCTGACTCTGGATTTAGATCGTGACTTCACACCAGTCTGAAGTACAAACAATCGCACTGAGTCTATTGTGTAGTGAGTATGCTTCAGTCTGCTAGTGTAGTCAAGTAGCTAATCTACAGGTTGAAAGACCTTTTGCATCCAAATCTATTGGGGATTTTAGTTCCCCGTATTTAGCAACCATGTTGTGCAGCTCAACACCGCATCTTTGTAAATTATCTCTACAGCTTTGATAATTGGAAAAGTTACAAACGAAGTGTCTCAGATGCCTCCCATCTAAAAGGTTCATTAACTCATTTACACAACATAAACTTGAAAAGTGCATAACTGTACAGTTATTTTACTACCAGATCACTACACGTTAAATTCAGAAGAACAGATATACAAAATTTTCTTAAGCCATAGCACTGGGAAAACTAGCAGGACGACCTGTATTTCACATGTAAGATTCTCAATGTTCCTCTATGTTTTCACATAAACTCCTTGCATCTCAGAAATTGACTACTGGGGTAAAGAGATATAACTGCTACACTGTAACCGCACAGAACTTGCTCAGAGGTCTCATTTCTAATGCTGCAACCCCTCCAAGAACATGGACAACCAACAGTATTCTATTCTTAGCAAATAAACAGGGATCTGAATTTTCTAATTATCAATTTTAAGAAAAAAAAAACTTACAAACAATAATCTGCTGTTAAATAATTGAGGTTCAACAACTGACTCAGTAGCAAGAAATTCAAGCTCCCGCTGCTTTTGTGGTGGAACCTTCAGCCTACCTGTGCTCCTCACTGCTTTGGTTTTGTTCCAAAAGTAAATCAAAAACCAATGGGTTAGAAGCGTTCAAATAAAAGCACATATACCAGATTGTCAAAATAACCACCCTTATCAATTGCACTTCCACTTTACCAGGTTTGAACTCATGCCTGGAAAGGCAGGGCTCAAACCATCAACACTTAAGGAGAAACACTAGTCACTCACTCTATATATTTGCTCATTAGTGACAACCAGTAAACAGATACACAAAGCATTATTCAACTTATCCAACAGAGCTAATTCAGAGGTAGGCAGAAACTACTATCCTTTCTACAACTAGATGCTAGTACTTGCACAATTTGTGCCAACAGCACTGAGGTGTTAAATCTTTTTATGCTCCACTACGCTCCCTTCTTTGCATCTCCATCCTTACCTTTGATGGAGGGGGAGGAGCTTACTAATTCCCATCTTCAGAACAGGCCATTCAAGTAGTTGCCCATCTTTCTGACCATTTCCTTTGCTCCTGACCAGTCACTTGCCACAGCTCCTAGTCCAAGGCATCCCAGCCTCATACCACCAGTCGCCAAACTCTCCCTTCCTGTAGAGAGGCTAGCTACTCTCCTGATTGTCCCTGTCTTCAGTTGCTAATGATCCAGTTAATTCTTCTTGAACTACTACTGTTCATAGATCTTTCAAAATAAATGTCATTACTCTCCTTTTCCGAAAAAAAAAAATTCTGGATCCCTCAGTTCTGACCAAAGCTGCCTCATCTGGCAAGTACTGTTGTCATGGAATTTCTATCCATAGAGAACAATATTGTCCAAGAAGTCAATGACATCCTTTGCAATTACGACAATGGGCAATTGCATATTCTGTTTGATGGTTGACCACGTACCTTCTCTAATAAGATGTCCTGCTATTGTTCTATTTCCATAGGTCCAGACAAGCAATCAAACCAAATGCAATGGTATATTCTTCAAAGTTCAAATGTTGAACCCGGCATCACCATTTATAGCCTCACTGCTGATACCCAGCTTTATTTCCCATGGCATGTGCTCTGAACTGCACAGACTTTGACAATTACCTGCTCACTAGTTACAATGAGCCAGAATCCCCCTCAGCTGAAGACTGGAACAAAAGACGCCAGCCTTTGGAGCTATCATTGAAATCTTTGTATCTTAAATACAACTAGATCCCCCTTCTCGAAATCACAGCGGGTCAGGCGGCATCCATGGAGAGGGAGCAAGCTAACACGGAGTCTAGATGACTCTTCATCAGAGCATAAACTGCCTGTACTCACTATGATTTCCAGCATTTTTTGTTTTCAATACAGATTCCACCATCTGCAGTAATTTGCTCCTACATCCCTATTCGCAGCTGTTCGTTTAGCCTGAACCCTAATGATGCAAAGTTTCAACTCCCATATCATCAACAACATGATTTTATGCAACATCTTTAATGGTGGAAAATAACCTAAGGCATTTCAGGAGTATTATTAAACATTAAGCCAAATAGGAGAGAGAGAAAAGGTGACTAAAAGTTTGGTCAAAGGGGAAAGAGGTTAAGGACGCCATCCTGAAGCAAAGAGATAAAGAGGCAAGAGGTTTCAGGAGGGAATTCCAGAGAATACAAGCTTAAGTTTTCATCAGCTGAAGGCACAGTTATCAGTGATGAGATTACAAAGTCACAAATTCTCAGAAGTTCAGAACTGGAAGATGGCAGAGATCAGAGAATTCTAATTCACAGAGAGAATTTGAAACCAGGTAAATTTTTAAAATTGAGGTATTGTCATATTAGAAGTTAGTGTAGATTAGTGAACATCGGAACATTGTGTGAAGAGAACTGGCTGTGAGTTATGATGCACAGTTTCTAATGAATCGGGTTTATGGAGAGTAGAAGATGACAGATCCATCAGGTGAGCACTGAAGTAACAAAGGCACAAAAGACATGAGACTTTCAACTGCAGGTGAGCAAAGCTAGAAGTAGAGACACGTAATATTATGAAGATGGAAGTAGTCTCAGTGATGCAGTCAATGTGGCCAGACATCCATGTGTATCTTGGAGTATCTGCTTCAATCTCTGCAATATTAGCTCCCTTCTCCATTACTTTGATACCACTACCACCAAAATATGATCCACATCAACACCTCCAAGTTCAACAATTTCCAGTGCTAGTCAACTTTCCAAGATTTTGTTTCCACATTAATCTCATAGCTGTATAGAATTCTGCCTTTCTACAAGAACGTCCTTTAATCTCACCCTCTGACATAGCCTGCAGTCACCGTTCTTCCCAGTTGCACATACTCTTCACCCAGTTCATTCTTTCAAAATATGTAAACAGAAACTTAGGAAGCACCTACACCCATTCGAGAAAATAGCTGCAGGTCATCTATAACAAACACAACAGATTTCACAGCAAAGGTGAGGTATTGGTCAACAAAACCAAATATAACACATATAGAATATTTCTCATGCACTTAGGAGAAACAATAGCAATTTTAAGATCGGACTCGACCATTCTCCAGTTTCTACAAGTGAAGCATTCCTTTTCATGTTCCCTATACAAATGCAATTTTCCATGTGTCATTCTTCGTTCAGAAGCATTAGTGCTACATCACAACTTTGCGGCAAGAGGTAGCGATTCAGGGGGACAAAGTCTTTCCAAATTTACTCCAGACACTATTGACTACTGCATGACATTTTCCGCTGAGGATTGACCAAGCTCTTTCAGTAAGACCTAAAGCTTTAAGTCATAAAAAGCCTTAAAGCTGCAGTACTCACAGTGTCTTATAATCCAAAAGAATCAGAAAAGTTGTGATTTTTTATGACGGAAACTGACTCAGCAACAATATTCTTCAAAGTTCAAATGTTGAATCCGGCACCACCATTTATAGCCTCACTGCTGATATCCAGCTTTATTTCCCATGGCATGTGCTCTCAACTGCACAGACTTTGACAATTACCTGCTCACTAGTTACAATGAGCCAGAATCCCCCTCAGCTGAAGACTGGAACAAAAGATGCCAGCCTTTGGAGCTATCATCGAAATCTTTGTATCTTAAATCCAACTACATCCCCATTCTCGAAATCACAGCAGGTCAGGCAGCATCCATGCTGCTGTTGTATTAACCTCAGTCCAAGTCAGCAGGCCAAGAGGAGACCAGATCTTAAACACACACTAAAATGATCATTATTTAGGAATACAATTCAATTTTTTAGTCAAATATTTAATTTTCAGTGTGTAGAATAATCTTTTTAGAGGTAAAAACTTTCAGCCTGGAAGCGTGATGTAATTTTTCAATGTGTCACATTATAATAGATTTTTCTGTAGAATCTATAGAATTCCTACAGTGTGGAAACAGGCCCTCAGCCCAACCAATCCACACCAACCCTGAGACCATTATCATCTGAAAGTCATTGAACAGGAGGGATAACCAGACATCAGTTTTATTTTAACATCAGTTCTGTTGGGCTTTTGATCAATGTGAACGAAGGACTAAAGCAGAGTGCAACAAGATCAGAATATTTGTGAATTCCATACATTAGCCTCCACTGGACAGAAATAACTTCACAAATGAAATATGCCAGAACTAAAATACTAGAACTAAAATACTGTAACAAGGACTTCTTTGCTTCCTTACAGAACAATGTAGAAATGGAAGTATGTATGTTATTACCATCACTGCAGCATTACAGCAAACTAAAACTTACTACCTGAAGGCAAACATTCAACATATAATCATCCTCTTCCATTGTTCCCCTCCTCACCCTTAGCTGAATCCCTTGCCATAGGGGATACAAAGATTTACACCATGTATACATTCTAATGATTTCAGAACTTTAGCACCAGAATTAAAAATTATCTGCTAACATTGGCATTTTCCTTCTTAAGCTGAACAGCAGAATTACCCAAAAGGCGGATATGAAGTATTTTTTTTCCTTACATTGAAAGCAAAATACCTTTTATTTTTCTCTTTCACCCCTTCTCAATTCCTACCATTACCTAATGCAGCTAGACAGATAATGATTTGCCTCCAAGCCATCACTAGTGGAGAAAACTAGCCATTAGAGAAATGATAGATTTCCTTCTTCAACATTTCTGCCATCACCAAACACATTTCCAAATTGCAGAATTGTTGCGGTGCAGAAGTACAATATTCAGCCCTCTTCCCCTGCTCTCCCACTATTTATCATTCTGAAGGGAATGTTTCCTCTGCAACACCACTGACTACAGCTTAGTCGCCCCCAAACAGTCCCTCAACTCTGGTACTCTTCCTGACAATTGCAAGAAATGGAAGACCCCTCCCTCCCTCCCTCCCTATTTCCATTCTTTTGTTATCATCATTAGCAACAAATATTCCTTCCAAATTAAAGCAGTTTCCTGTCACTGTTACATCAACTCTCCACCTACTCCAACCTTTCTGCCCTTGGACTGCTAGTGCTCCAATAAAGCTCAATGCAAACTTGAGGAACAACACCTCATCTCTTGACTGGGCACTTTACAGCCTTCTGAACTCAACAATGAGTTCAACAGTTTTAGATCATAACTTTCACTTTCACTTGGTTTAGTGTTTTTTTTGCTAGCTTGTTCTTCTTTTGTTTCTTTCTTAATCCCTTTACTTTGCATTCAGATGGTCACTATCTGGTCATTCATACCTCATCTAGATATTCCTTTTGTTTCTTTATTTATGATTCCCTTTGGATGTTATATGATGAAACTGTGTCAGTTAATCTCTCTCGCCTTCACCTATCACAAATTTGACTTTTTTTTGTTCCAACCTGCCTGGCTTTCAATTGCTCAAAACTCCATAAGTTTCTAACTTTTGAGTTCTGATGAAAGGTCACAGACCTGAAAAGTGATTTTTCCTTCTTTCCATAAATGTTGCCTGAGCTACTGAGTGTGGCCAGCATTTTCTGATTTAATTCAGCTTTCGAGCATCTGCAGTATTTTGCTCTTGGGATGGACTCCTTCTCCACCGCACGTCAGTATATGGAGACATAACAGGCACTGACCAAAATCTCATCTTCACTGGTGCTCTAATATTGTTTTTTCTTCATAATTTGATGGGATGTGGGTATCGCCCCAAAACACCAGCTTTTGTTACCCTCTCCCAATTGTCGTTGCTGGGAGAAACTTGTTAGGCCATTGCAGTCAAAAGTCAACCCCACTGAGCGATCTGGAGTGATATGTAGGCCAGTTTTCCTTCCCTAATGTACATAATATAACCAGATGGGTTTTTACAAAATTAATGATAGCTTCATGGCGCTATTAACAAGACTAGATTTTTTTTCTTCCAGATTATTGGTTGAATTTAAATTCCACTAGCTGCCATGGTAGGATTTGAACCCAGATTCCCAGAGAATTAACTCCAGATTAGTAATCCAGTGATATTACCACTACACCACACACTTCCCTTCTACTGCACCACCTTTATTTGAACTACGCATTGACAATGGGTCTCACAAAATTAAAAAAAGTTGTAGGGTTCAACAGTGTTACTAAGGCCTTACGTTGGTTGTGAACGTGCGTGACAATAGTTCTTCTCTCTCTCGATCCTGTTGTTCACGGGCATATCGACGGTGTTGGAAGTTCTTCAGAGCTGTTTGCAGGTGCTGGCAGTCATACTTTAGTTGATCCACTTTGCTGGAGGAGAAAAATACCAAATATAAAAATAAGCAAATTAATAACTATCAAAAATATTTCAGTGCAAAGCCTAACTGCAGTAGGCCATGACCTAAGGAGAGTGTTGATCGTAAAGATCTTGGAATCCATTTAGCACACAGGAAGAAACATGAAGGTGTTGAGATAAAGTACTTGTTTTATATAACATCTTTCACAATTTGAGGATCAACTAAGACACTTCAAAAGCCAATTAAATACTTTGATTAATTACTGCGGCTTTGTCAGCAAACACAGGAGCCAATCCGCCTATAGCAACCTATAACCGAATACAGCAACCTTTTCCAAGGAAAAAAAAACTTGCTGCCACCTGCAGCATTTTTTTGAAATGTATACAGCCTAATAGATGTATTGATGCACATGCCTGCAAGGCGAGTGCTCGATACAAATTTGCTTATACAGGTGCACAATGTTCCATTCAGCCTTAGCATCATTAGGAGAGGATGGGCAGGATAAAAAGAAGAAACTAATAAGAAAAGTAACAACATGTAGCTACATTGTCCCTTTCATGTGCTCAGGCCATCCACATGAATTTTGTCCAATTAAAATTAACTTTATTGTCACACGTATTTACCTGAGTACAGTGAAATGTCTACAAGTCACCATTTACGGTGCCATCTTAGGTACAAATGTACCTAGGTACAGATTCTTAAGTACAAATTCTTAGGAAAAATGAAGAAATAAATAGTCCAGCGTTACAGCCCTTCACATCATCTTAGGTATAAAGTACAAAATCATAGGAATAAATTAGAAAAGCAAATAAATAAAAAGTTCAGAATAACAGTCCATCCAACCCAGTCTGTGCTGGCACCAAGCCTCCAGACCACTCTGGGCCTCGTCTCCAGACGCGGCCTGGAGCCCGCTCTGGATTCACCTCAAGGCCGGGGGCCCGCTCTGGATTCGCCTCGAGACCAGGGGCCCACTCTGGATTCGCCTCGAGGCTCTTTTGTGATAAGGTACACTAGGAATTACTTTGCATTGATGCAAACATTGCAACACAACAGCAGCCCAAGAACAAACTTAAATACAGCTCAATCATACTTTTAGAAGACTCTTCACTTTACTATATCTTATGAAAACCTTAATGGACAGAGATAAATTAATTTCTTCACTTCACCATCCCTTCTTTAGATTTACAAGTTGAATTTTTCTTTCTGGTTCCTTATTTCAGACACAGCACAGTATTTCATTATGCTGCCCAGATTACTAATGACAGCGTTTATTTTCAATGAGGAGAAATGTCATTATAAGTGCATAATGCCCACTCCTCACTCCATTTAAAGCATTCATCACTGCAGCTCAGGGAAAACAGGCAAAATGTACAGTTTGCAAAATAACTAGTCCCTTGGTTATACAACTATTTGGTGGCATAAATCTGATGTATTTCCAGGTGCACCAGGAGGATTTCCTATTTCACATGGAGTTATATTGCACCAGTACTACAGTCAGTGGGGAATGAGGGTGGAAGATGAAGTGTTGGGTACGGAATTACACCAACCCAGAATGTGCTGCACAATCAGACAAAGCAAGTCAAGGCACCATACCTTTTGAATCATGAAACTTAGGAGATTTCACTTTTCAGTATACTGAAGCCAAGAGAGGTGCTGGTTTAATTTATCCTGTTGGCAATCACTTTGGGAATCTTATGATCGCGGATTAGGGAATCGATTCGAATTTGGAAACAGACGGACTCCTAACACTAACACAAGTGAAGCACTGAAACCCCAGATTTTGATCAGAAATCTTGGCACAAAAACTACACAGTGCCAAATTCTAAGGCGGTTAGCAGATACAGACAGGTTCTTTTGACCATAACCGACTGGTTAGAACTTAACAAAAGGTGAATAATTTAATGTAAAGAAAATCACCACCACGTGATTTATAACTCTTTAGTTCAAGGCAGCAATCAGAAACACAAGGTTAAAATGTTTATGGAGACATCTGTTTTGGACCTCAATGTGTTTCATATTAAGATTCATGTATTAAAAGTATATATTTTTAAGTATGCAAAAGCTATCCTGTTACACTGGATTCAGGACACTGCCTTGGAATTTCCTGAACAATAAAGCTGCATAAAACTCACTGCTTCACCTAGTTTGTTTAAACCTAGGACTATTTTGTACAAAATTCAACATTTATCACAATAAATAAGCTTGCAAAGGAATGGAATGATGCGTATTGAAATGGGAATCACACTTACAGTTTAGCGTTTTGCCGTCTATTTGGAGGCTCTTTGCTGGTCAGTATTTCGAGGCGCTCCAGATTGCTGAAAATCTGATCTATCCGGGCTTGGATTTCATTTTCCACCACTACAGCAGCAACAGAATTATCAAATCATTAAAACAATAGAAATATAAATGGATGAACTATGCGGGTTGTTCAAGTCAAACAATATTATACATCAACTCATCTGTATGCTAAAACGGCACATTTACAGTTTTAGTCATGGGTCAGTAGTAACACCTCACATCAGAGTCAGAAGATGGGTGGGTGCGTGAGAGAGAGAGAGAGAGAGAGAGAGAGAGAGAGAGGAATGGTACCGAGGAGACTGGGGGCAGGGGTGGGAACACAGCGTAGGGGGGCACACATGCGAGAGAGGGGGGTGCATGTGCTAGTGAGCGGGAGAGAGTGTCTGTGTATACAGGTATGAAGGAAGGCGGCTCTTATTCTCCTGCTAAGTACCCCCGATAAAGGAAGGGCATCTTCCTTCCTGCCGTTTTAAAAACATAACAAAAAACAGCCTACCTCTCCCAATGGCACACACCAAACATATTGTTCTGTGGGCAGGGTTATATTGGGGTCAAATGAGCTTACAAATGTTTACATTTAAATTCAGTTATAAATTACAAATTTATATAATAATACATCAAATGATAAAGTTACATATGGTAGGTTGGCTACCAGCCTCTGTATTAAAAGGGGTAGGATTGTGGGGCAAGGTACCTTAATTTATACACTGCAGTGGGAGAATGGAATATGCAACCCGTAAGCACAAAAATAATGTACAGCAGAGAGTGCACGAGGCCCCTCCAACAAGTCCCACTGTACTATTTCAAAGAAGCACAGGGGTCTTAACATTGGGCTGTAGCTAATATTTATCTCTCACTCGGCACTTCAAAAAGCAGATGATCTGGTCATGATCACATTGTTTTGGAGGTTGCTGTGTGCAAATTAGCTGTCCCAATTCCTAGATTACAACAGTAGGAAGAAAAGTACTGAAAAACACTTTAGAGCCAATTGGGATGTCCTGAGATACTGAAAGGGGCTATGTAAATGCATCACTCTTTCTTTACTTTCTGTTAACACCCATAGGATCTACTGCTACGGCGTAGCGAGGCAACACTGGATTGACTCTTCAAAGCCCAAAAAAAAAACATGCTTAGAGAGGCATTCTACGAACTTTAAATCCCAAATTGCACAAACTCCAATTAAGAGAATCTCAGGATGCCTCGTTGACGGCTCAGTTGGTAAGTAGCAGCTGAGATGCAAAGCCCACGAGGCTCCATTCCAGTCTGCTGAGTTAAACTGACTTAACCTGGGGTGGCAGTGCTACGAATAGGCCTCAATGTCCTGTGTGAACAACAGGGGAAAAGAACATTCAGTCGCGCTCCTGCTCAATACTCTGCAACAACTGCTAAAACAATGTTGCAGCATGTGGTGCTAAAATACCAGGGCCACTGCTGCTACAATGATTCAGTAAATTTCTGATATTGGATTAGCATGAGATCTGGCTCCATGTCCAGCACCGCATGGCCTGGGTCAGATCACAAAGGGAAAATAATTAAGGGTGACTCCTAAAGGCTAACTACAGCCATACACCCCACACCACGTGCTTCCTATTATCCATTAATACTACCATTAAAATATAAATTCTAAGTGAAATTTACTGACTTTCTTAACACCTCACCCCTACTCCCCATCTAACTGGGTTGCAGCATCAAAACTTGAAGACAGTCACATCAAGTGATTAATGATTGAAATAATCGTAGATTTGTTCATTTGGAACTCCTACCTCTTATCATGTCAAAAGTCATACACTTTAAGTTACACATTTGAAGGGATAAGCTCAAAGCTAGAATAGATTAGTTCTGGAAGAGATCTGAAGAAATTGATAAACTTTTGTATTGAATGATTTCATAAAAAGCTGTAATGTCTACCCAGAAGGTTTGATCTATACCCTAATACTATAGTGATGTACTAAGATACCCCACCAGGACTAAAAACAATGTCATTATTTCTTTTGGCAGAGCTTTGTGCCCACATCAGTTCCTCCCCTGCCTTGGCACCAGGCTGGCTCTGTTTACATCTCTTAATTATGAATACTTACAGTGAACAGACTGTGCGTCTGCCTTCTCCAGCTGTCCCATGTGAGTTTGCACCTCATGAATCTGCCTGCGAGGAGAGACAGGAGGAAATGGGTGGATTAGCATCTATCTGCAAACATGGGCAGGGCCCATCAGAGGAAAGAGGACTTTTCACCCCCTGTATTCTGTGCGAGGACTCCCTATCAGGCCTTGGAAAACAAGACAAAAGCGCAAGGAGTGGCTCCATTTTCACAGCACAGATGATGGCAAAGATAGAGTAAGATTGGAAGCATGCACTGGAATGACGTAAACATACAATCTGAGGCACAGTGGAGTCATGCTGGAATCTCCCTGTATACAATCAATCAGTAACTGCACATCCCAAGTCACTGTGCAACAGACTGGTTAACAAGATTGGGGAAAAAAGCATTATCACAAGTAGGCACTACTGACAGTCACAAGACAGAGGTTATAGTCAGTATCCTTTCAGGGAAAACACCATGTTAAAATGAACCTACTTACTTAAATGAATATTAAAAAGTATTCCCATCACAGAAACGGGATAAGATGTTCTGGAAATCATGCTGGTGTTTAAGTCGACACAAGCATCTCCCACCTGGTTGAATCCAAACCCATCAAGATATAAATCTCCTTGTATTTACCCAGCTTTCTCTTGAATACATCAATGCTATTTTCTTGAACTAGACTGTGTTTCAAACCACTTGGAAGTAGAATCTTAGTTACAAAAAAACCAAATGCTTATTTCCAATGTACCCTAACTTTACTCTTATACATTTGAATGTCACACACAAGGCACTGTAGCCAAAAGGAAACTCATGTGGACATGGACCAGTTGGGGTGAAGAACGTACAGCATAGAAACTAGTCAATGTAGTTCAATGCAAGAGTGTTGTGGAATGAGCTGCTAGGCTATAAAGACCTCAGAACTTAGATTAGATTGGAAAATTAGATTAAATTCTAATGGAACCCCATTAGCCTGATCTCAGCCAGAGTATTTCAGCAGGCTTTTGTGTCACAAGCAGTAGGCAGAAATACTAATTTAGGTCATTTGTGATGGATCCAAAGCAAATACTGACTCCTATTATTGACAAATCAGCCAGATGATGGCAGAGTGGGTGCATGAGAAGCCAAACATTGAAATGAATGTTTTAATATGCTGACAACAGAGGGTGGACCAGAGGAACTGCTGTTTACTTTACCTCCTCTTTGTGCAGCATTCAGCAAGTTATCCCTGATCAAACGCTGAAATACTACAGGCATTCACAGTTCCAATAAACACTTCTGTTAAAAATCATACCTTACAAATAAGTTCAGAATCAAGTGAGTGAAATACATGTGGATTAAAGAGATAAGAAGAAGTTAGTCTACAGAAATCATCAATGTTAGTATAAAAAAACCCGAGTGAAAATGAACAATGTGGAAAGTTAAACTTAGCACTTGGTAAAGACTCAAGAGAAATTTAACATTTCCCTTTAAAAGCCTTCAGTAAGACATGTTCCCCATCACTTTCAGTGGTACCTTACCTCCTGAATGTGCTGAGCTTTCCTACCTCAATCACAATGCAATGTATTTCCACTGGGCAGACAATCATCAGTTCTGACCACAGCTTGTATCACATTCCAACAGATGGAGAAATGGGATATTATGCATTTGGATACAAAAAAAGAATCAGCTTACCAAGACTAGCCATACATCACAGTCTGACAAAGAAACAAAATATTTGTAATGTGCTTTACGGATGATTATGGAAGTGAACACATAGGTGTAATGGAGATGGATATGGAACAACTGCTAGATCGGTGCAGAAAACAAATGACAACACAGACATAACAGTCTGCCCTGGAGAGTCATCTAGACTTAGCTTGCTCTCTCTCCACAGATGTTGCCTGACCCGGTGTGATTTCCAGCATGTTTTGTTTTCACAACAGTCCAAACATCTGCCTCTTGTGATAACAATTCGATACTTTCCTATGAATCGATTGCCATGGCAGGAGTAGGAATCTTGGAGCAGGACAGCACTATAAGACCAGTGATAGTAGGAACTGCGGATGCTGGAGTCCAAGATAACAAGATGTGGAGCTGGATGAACACAACAGGCCAGGCAGCAT